CAAAGTACAAGAGGAGACAATAGCTGGATGCAGACAGCTAATAGTGAGGCGATTATGTTCAATATAAATTAGTAGCAGTCACAGCACATCAATTGCACAGCCTTTATTGAGTGCTTTATTGATATCAAAACACAGGTGAGTTTTAAGGAGAGATATGAAAGAAGATAGCACAGAGGTTTTCAACAAACATATTGCAGAACCCTTGCACAAAATAAGAGGCAGGTGAGAGAAAGCCTCAGATTCAGTTCATCCATAAAATGGGATATTAATTCTTAACTACCTCACATGGCTGCTGCAAAGATGAATTAACTTAGATTAGTGAGGAATCTGGAACTATATTGGGGTCATACAAGAACCCAGATCAAGAGAATGGAAACTCTTCAAGTTTCAAATCAGTTGTTTCCTCATTCTATTGTCAGGTACACGATTTGTAAATCCTCTCACTGAAAAAGCTGAGAGTGTTGAGTCCCCTAATTTAGGGCTCTGGACCTGAATTAATGTGATCTGATTCCGTGAGCAGGAGGGAGCTTAAGTAAGAAAAGCAATAAGAAAAGTCTTCTGAACAGAAGAACTTTCGGTTTTAGCACCAGAACCTAATATAGATAATCAAAAATGTTTACTGCATGTTTGCCATAAACCTGTTAACTCTTTCCTTAGAAATGTATTACACTTCCAATCACTTCTCCTCTAAGGGAACCTTCATCAACACAAAATGTTGAAAATACATTCCAATAAAAACAAAACTAAGTCCTTCTTTAAAAATAAACTTGGTTAATTAATAAAGTATGAAGAACATAATTTGGGTTAATAGTCTAACCATAATAAATTGGACCTTTTTCCGTCTTGTTCTTTGTAAAGGTTGCTATTTTTATTTACTCATTCATATATACACATACTGTACCCACTTCTTCCCTAAATCATCCTCCAATCTAACACTTGCTCAAATATGTCAATGCTTATATATTAAAAACTTGGCAGCAATCCACCAGACTAGCAACCTGAAAACAAATAATCAGTTAAGGAACAGGGGAAAAATCTACAAGGAAACAAATTTCAGTACCAAACTTCCAAAGGTCCTATATATACACATGAAGAATATGAAGTAATTTTAAGTACTAGGTGATACACCTTAATAGTGGATACCTTTAAAACAATTCAAAAGCAGGAAGTAAAGGTGACTATCATAGTGGATGACCCGGGTTCATCTATTTACAAAACATTGCTGGCAAAACAAATTATGTTTTGCCTTTCATTGAAAACAATCCCATTCTTTAACTCAACTTCAGAGTATACCTGCATCTAGATTTATATATTTTAGGATTCACACCACCCAATAGTGAAATGTGATCTCTCCTAACACCACTTAGTAACACTACACAGCAGTCTGAAAAGAGAGTGATAAAGAATATTATATAAAATTGGAACTCCAGAGGGAACTCCAGTGAGAATTTCATTAATATAATTACCTAGCTGGAAATTAGTTGGAACACCGGTGCTAATGTGCTTAGTCTTGCTGGAAGTACCAAGAGATTAACAACATCACTGATCAGGGCCTTAATGTTACATTTTGTTTCAAACACAGCACATCCAAACTAGGCTTGGACATTGGTTTGTACTGTACATTTCCCACATTTTCAAAGAGGGTATCCCACCCAACAAAGTGAGAAGATCCAACTTTGCTTAGATTGTACAGTCAAGCTATGACTGTAGGCTGGATACACAAGTAGATTGGAAGGGTTGGATTATGGTTGAATTTCTTTACTCATCTATTAAAATGCTTAACCATAATACTACATTAAACCGTTTTGTATGTTGTGGTATATGTTGAGGAATTTACCTCATTAAGCACAACTCCACACATATATTAGTGTATATACAACTGAAGCTCTGCACATTAAAGCCATGAGAAATATACATTAATCTTTCTATAATTCTGCAAATTAAAAAAAACCCAGAACAAATCAACAATATCCCATGCTCTAAATGGGACTCTGGAGGGTTTATGCTAAAGAGGCCTGTGCAGACTACAATTGGTCCTTAGGTTCGAAAGGAATGCTTTAGGAATCTAAAATTTACCTCATTCTCCATGGATACTCAACAGTCTAGGTAAACTGGATTTGAATGTTAGTACTTCATAAAAAAAATCTATAATAAAGCATTTTTACAGAGACATGTGTTCAAAGCACAGTAGAGACATCACCTAAGAAATCTTTACAATATCCCTTTGACCCAGGTTCTGCCCCAGGGGTCCCCAAGTCAGCCGCTGCTGAAACAGATCAGCGGCTGATTCCAGGAAGCCCGGGGCAGAGCTGCTCTGCCCTGGGCTTCCTGGAATCAGCTGCTGATCTGTTTCAGCAGCGGCTGAATCAGGGACTCCTGGGGCAGAGCCTGACTATCGTAAGGGGGGGGCTATGAAGGGTCTGGGGGGGCATCCCCTCTCACCCCACTCCAGATGCCTCATAGCCCCCCCTTCTGATAGTCCGGCATATCTGATAATCGGCACCCCCTGGGTCCTAAAGGTGCCGGATTATCGGAAGTTTACTGTAGTTTTGGGTAACTAATCAATTCACGCACTAGCTGATACAGGAGACCCTTGCGATTCTCAGAATTACTGTTTGCAGTTCTATGTATTCACAGGTTTCCTGTCCTGGCCAAGCACCGTGTGTGTTTGTGAGGGGTGGTAGTGGTGGTGAAGGGGAGCAGCAGATCCTGGCCCCTGCAGTGGGTTCAGGAGTTTTGGCTCCCCGTATTTGCAAATTTCGCCATTTACAGTGGATGCAGGAATACATCCACTGCAAATGGTGAGGGTTTCCTGTCCTAATTTGTGAAAGGGGAACGACTTCTTTGAAAGAATAGATAATGCATTAGAGAACTCCCTCTTTATATCTTTTCTGGGAGTAGAAGTATACTAATAAAATGTACTGAACTATTATTTGAACTTCCACATTTTTAGTACATGTTATGGACATACTTTCTAGTAAAAAGTTCCCCAACACTTCTGGGGAATAATGTCCTGTATAATAAATAAGTTACCCAAGTCTATAAAAATGCTTACCATTTCTATGCTGGCTATCAAAAACGTTGACGCTTTGTCACTTAAACAGGAAAATGAATTCATCATATTAGAAGATAAAGGTCAGGGTTTTTTGTGTGTATGTATGTACCACTATATTTTAGAAAGTGTATCTGAACAAGTAAAAAACAACAAACAAAAACAAAACTAAAAAACCAGCAATGGTCCTGTAGCACCTTAGAGGCTAACAAAGATATATAAATAGTATCATGAGCTTTCGTGGGTACAACCCACTTCTTCAAATGACAAATTTGGAGTCCTTTCATTGAGGACTAAGACCATGGCTAATTAATAGTTTAAAAAATAAATGGCTCATCAAAACACAAAAATGTGTAATAAACTAATAAAGACTTGAAAAAAAAAAATCAGAATATGGAAATGGTTTTTCACTTAATCTGATTAACTCACAGATGGCTAAACAATTTTAGAAAACTTTACTTTCAAACATCCTTTGAGGGAAAAATCCTGTAAGATTTCATCTAAAGAGGATATAACTACTACATTTCAGAAAGTAAGGATTGCAATTTCTACATACAGTAATTCCTCTCTTAACACGTTTTCACGATAGCACAATTTTTTTTAGGGAACGTTTTTCGAACATGACGACCGTCCCCGCAATAACACGATTTCCCTGACTGGCTGGCCAGTCGCTGGCATCTGCGTGGGGCTTCCCCTGCCTCCTTGCAAAACAGCGGAGGTTTGCAGCTGGCCAGTGGAGGTTTGCGACCGGCCAGCTGGGGAAATCCACCCGCCGGCTGCAAGCCCCCTCCCTTGTCCTCCCCTTTCCTTCCCCAGAGCCAAACACCTCCCCTCCCTGCTGTAACCCAGTCCCCTTTCTCCCCCAACTTTATGTCCTGGTCCCAAAAGACACTAACGCTTGAAACGCAACCCCCACCTCTTCCATTATTTTCAATGGGAAAATTGACCCCGCATAACACGTTTTCACTTAACACGATCATTTTCTAAACATATCTATAGTGTTAAATGAGGAATTACTGTATATGGGGCTTATAATTGAAGTGTCATCCCAACCATACCTGTGTAGCATTGGATTAGTGACTAATACAGAATTACATGATAAGTGAAACAAAAAATGTTTCTGTGGTTGGATGCAGGGTTGACAATTTCTGGGAAAAAAAAACTACGTTACAACAGGGCACTGGAAAATATCAGTTTAAACTGGAATACATATGAATTACTATTGGAATGTACTAATGAAAATTACTGGAAAATACCTAAAAATTTAAATAATAATTTTGCAGGATATATAATAAAATTTAAATACTCCATAGCACATAACTTTCTTGAGAAAATACTAAAATAAAAGACACAGTCTAATAGTGAGTATATTACATATTAGTTTACACCTACTTCAGCTTTACTTTTTTTGTACAATTTTAAATCAACTGTAAAAAACTAAAAATAAACTGCTGCCTTACAAAACCACAATTTGAATATGTACCCAAGACAGAGTAATGTGATGTGCATTACCAAAACAGTTTTTCAAATAGAAAATGCCTTACATTGGAACTAGCTAATCTTTCTGGGATATTAACAACTACAGGTTGAAACTCTCTAGTCTGGCACTCTCCGGATGTGACTGTTGCCGAACCAGAGAATTTGCCAAACCGCTAGAGGTCAGTATTGTCTAGTAGCATTACCAAACACTTCCGCTGTTTACTGGGCATTTGAGAGTACATCAGAGCTAAATAACAGGACAGAACACTGGACTGGTTGCTGTAAACCAACTATATGGGACTGTGTGAAACCCATGAAAAGTGGCCACCTGTCTAACTAAAATCATGCCAGGACCACACATATTGCTAGACCAGAAACACCGGATGAGAGAGGTTCAACCTATACAATTTCATGTGATAAAAAACACATCTGGCGAACACCATGCTATCCCTGGCTGGCAATTTCTTACCTGATTGGGTTGGCAGGGAAAGTAGGGTCTTCTGGAGTTCAACTCCTCAAATGTTGAAGGCCTTATATTTGGACTTTTATATGGTTCGTTGGTTACTATGGTTTCATGTTGGAAAAGGTGATCTTTTAATGAAGTAGAAGTATTTTCTTGAATTGCCTAAAACAGAAGAATTCAACTTTATTCTATTCTTGGTATGATTTAACAGTTGTATAAAATATTTATTAATACAAAATCATAACATTTTAAAACTCTTCAATATATGCATGTATATTACACAAAAATACATGTCAGAAACATGTAATATTCACAAAGTCTCAAACAACATTTTCTTAAGTAATGTCCAAGAGAATGAAATACCCTATCAACAAAACAGAAACAGCATAGGCAGCAGCAATACAAGCCTCTCTATCCTACCAACTTAAAATCTGACATAAGGGAACCTCTTATAGGAGTTTAGACCGGTCTCCAATACTGTATGTTCTAGAACTGCCCAGAAACATATGAATTATTGTTGATTTTAAGAGTAGCTTGTGATGTGCATTTGCAAAATGGTATTGCTGTCACTACAATCTATGAACAAACAAAAACACTCCAACATACTGCTGGAAAAAATTCTGAAAGTAATGATACACAAAACAGAATTAATGGTTGGGTGTCAAGTTTAAGAAGACAAGTTTAACAGTCTGGCTTGCTATATAAGAAATAAATGAACAAAAAGTGAACTTCAAGATAGATACCGGGAGCTGAGTGTCACATAGTCACAGTAAGCATACACAAAACTACTGATGACTAGCCAATATTGAAATGAAAATGATATGAAACTATTGGGCAGAAAATAAGATCATGTAGTAAATGCATATTAAGATATCTGCAGAATAAATCCCACTCATCGCTTGAGATAGTGGAACAGGATGTGTGCTTTGATTTAAGAGTGCCTTTATATGTAACTAATCCATTTATTGAACAGAATAGAGATAATATTAAAGACTCTGAAGTATTTAATGAATTGGAGTATAATGAGAACAGAAGGTAATGAGTCAAGGGATGCAAACATCCCAGTTAGCTACCCAAAAAAACCAACCACCCCAGAGGCCATATAAAGTTCTATTAGCACTGACAAATATAATTAAAAATTAGAATTGGCTGGGTGGTAAAATCTGATGTTACTTAACAAGGTCAAACTGACTAGGTTAATAATCGTCATTGTAATAAAATAGTACAAGCTAAGGATTTATAGAGCACCAAAAAAGTTTGAATACAAAATGAACAAAACAGAAAAGGTTGCCAGTCATGTTTAGACTTCAAAATACGAAAGTATTTTCAACTTTCAATGCAAACCCAGATGCCCAGCTAGGTACAGAAAGTGTAAAACTCTGAACCTCTAACTCCCCTTTTGATACATATTTTTTCTTTGAATTAGCTCTGCATCTGAAGCACACAAAAACTTCAAGTTCTGGATCTTTAAAGATTTGGATGAGATGTAAGAAGAGGTTACTTTCCTTACAATAACCTGAGTTTGAGATGTTTTGTCCCTATGGGCATTCCACCATATAATGTGTGCAGGCTTGGGCCCTCTTGATTGGACAATGCAAAGCAGTATCAATGGGCCCTGTCACGGCATATCATTGTTGGACAGGCACTTCCTCACAGTACTTTGGGGGATTAGCTCAAAGCTGATGCCCCTCTACTTGGTTTGCTCACTGTTACTGTCCATTATTGCTGTTCATTTGCTGTCCCTCACACAGCTTCAGGAATCACAATCCCCGACCCCTTCTGGGAAAGATTAACTCCTCAGTAATCTTAGACAATTCCCTTGCTTATCACTTCAGTGCCACTCACCCACTGGCTAGTAGGGGAACCAGAGGTTGCCCTCTTCTCCTGTTTCTAGCCCAGGGACAATCAGCTCAGTTGTCTTGTCCTTCTCTCTCTTGGCTCACTGCTCTATCTCCAGGCTGCTTATTATTGGTTTCCTTTTCTCTTCCTGGGCATACCAGTTTCCCAAAGCCTCCTTCCTCTTCCAATGGAGAGGCTGCCTTTTCCCAGCTGCCTCTTCACTTTTCAGCTCCTGGGCTTTATTAGCCCCACCTATTCCCGCCCTGCTGAGCTTCCTTAATCAGTTACCTAACGTGTTAATTGAACCAGCTGGCCAGCCTTAAAACCCTGCAGCGTGAGTAAGTCACCCCATCACAGGTCCAATACTTCTGTAAAGTAGAATCTTGTGCCTCCAAACCAGGGTGTATAAGGAGGAGTGGACCAACCACCATTTAGTTCCTTCTCAGCTGCTGAAAGCCTCCAAAGTTAGGTAAGAAGGGCAGGAGGTTGAGCATACATAGTGATGTTAAATTCTTGGGAATAAACTTTCAGAGAATATTCCTGAAAATGTTCTTGAGAATATTCTCCAATGCAAGAATTTTCTCTTAAATAGTTGTTAAATAGTTGTTTTTTTAAAAAGAATTTTACTTCTTTAATAGAACTTCAAGAATCATGAAAGTTTCCAATTGTTAAAATGAAAATTCGGGAAAGTAAAGAAAAAAAGACAGAGGTTTAAATTACTAGAACTTTTATTACAAATCTTCTGTTGTAGGAAACAAATATTTTTAACTTTCTGGATTGAATACAAGTCTAATCAGAATCTGCAGTTTCCGGATCTGACCCATATATTTCTCTTTCTTCTTCTTCCTCATACATATCTTCTTCAACTTCTTCTTTCTCTTCAGCATCATCAATTTCTTCTTCCTCATTTCTCTGGTTCTGTTTCCTTTTTTCTCTTGGGGATTTCAATGGAGCATCATTTGGGTTTTTAAGAAGCTTTATATTATGGGCTATGAATGTCAGCTTGCCTGCCCTTTCTTGTGTTAACTTGTTTCTTTTTGCATTATGAATGATACTGTAAGTGCTAAAACTTCTTTCAGTTGCTGCCGTTGTTGGTGGCATATTCAATGTTGATCGCTGCTTTCCCTAATTTTGATCCACTGCAAATACCTTTCCGCCATGTTACTGCATTTACTGAGCCAGCTGATTGTTACATATGATTAAAAAAAAAAACCACACACACACACACACAACCACCTTCTTTAGAACAATACTCTGCAAGCTCTGCAATGACTTTTGCGGAGTGATCAGTGCCATACATTCTTGTGACTAATTTATCGATTAATTCAGTTCCTTGTATTTGTTCATTTCTAGTAAGGCACTCACCACTGAATTTTGGATCTAGAATATTTGCAGCATAGTGAATGTCTTTTAGAGCCATATCTTTTCTTTTTTCAAAACTTTTCATCACATCCTGTTTTTCTTGTTTGGTAAGTGGACTTTTGGGAAGTAGCCTATCAAAATGATTGCTTAATTCCCTGAAACATTCAGGAACTTCTCTCATTTTTGGCTGGTCAGATTCAAGCAGCATAATCCATTTAACAACAGGACCTATCCGTGCATGCAGTTTTTGGACCCATACCCAAAATACATCTTCATCCAGGATTGAATTCCTCATACATTTGCTCAGTTTAGTCTGTAAATCTTCATGGACAGCAAGGAATTTTAAGACTTTTTTTATTTCAATAAGCTTTTCAAACAATATAAAATGGAACCCCATCTAGTTTTAACTGGCAATATAAGTACACAAGTTTGATTTTTCTCTTTTTGAAATGCAGTAAAATGAGCTCGTAAAATGTGCGATTTGTTAATTTCCTTCACAATAGTTTTACAGGTAGCTTCAGTTTCTTGAACAGATTTTAAGTTACTGATGTCACCAACTAACAAATTTAGTGTATGAGCAGCACAAGTGTACATAGCAATGTGATTGTATTTTTCGTTAAGCATTGATAAGGATTTCACCATTGCTGCAGCCTTATCAGTGACAATGGCACCAAATTTTTCAGTGCCTATTTGTCATTATTTCTTCCATACGGAATGCCATATACTCAGCAGTATGACGTTCAACATCGGTTGCCATTGTCTTGTAAAACACTGGTTGGGGTGTTGATATAATAAAATTTATAACATTCATTTTTTCGGTTGCTCCAAGCACCACACTGCAGTGCAAGAGAAGAAGCTTCAGCAATTTTTGTTTTTATAAGAGCATCAACACATTGATATTCGGCTTCCAAAAGTTTGTTAGAAAGCGTGTACCTGGATGGCATCTTGTAAGATGGTCTTAATTTTTGCATGAAAAGTAATCCAATCTTCGTTTTCAACCAGTGAAAGAGGCGATCCCGATGAGTATACCTCATGCAAAAAATTCATCCAAAGCTTTGTTTTCAGTTTCATTCATAGAATCAAAGTAGCGACTTATAGAGTGAGACACCTTGGCTGAACTAGATGTGGAAGGTGGTGATGTAAATTCACTAGCACTATCACAGTATTCTATAGATGCTGATGCAGTTGATGGGTGAGATGATCTGCTTCTGGACTCTGAAAATTTTGTTGCCTTTTCCTTGATTTAAGTAGGAGTCTTCAAACAATTGGAAATATGCTCTCTCATCCTTGTTGCATTTCTGATGTATTCAGCCTTGCAGTACTTACATTCATATAACACTTTGTCTTTAACTGTTTTATGAAGGAAATAATCCCACACATCACTTTTAGGCTTTTAAGTTCTTCTTTTCATACTGATGAAAACACAATTACACCTTTCACAAAAGAGAATAAATGTGTTATTGCCTCTTTATATACTTTTTGTGATGCTTCCAGAAAGTTCCATAGCAGTCAGAATTTCTGACTTATGAATGTTCTAGAAAGTTCCATAACATTCTGGAATGTTCTTTCTATAACATTCTCAAACTATCTTGAATCATCAAGAAAGCTCTTTAACATTCAGGGTCTTCTAAAAGTTGAATATATTATTTCAAGAGGAAATGAAAAATTAGAAAACTCTCAAAAATTCTCGGGAAATAATCTTTTGCAGAATATTCTCAGAATATTCATGTTCTCGGAGAATATTCTCCAGAGAATATGCTCACCTCACATCACTAAGCATACAGAGAGACAAAACATTTAAAAAGAACTCAAATTATTGTACAGTAAGTAACTTCTCTTTTGATTTCACATCCCTATAGGTGTTCCACAGTAGGAGAAACTCAAGCAGCAACTTAACAAGAAGGTGGGTGCTGAGGAGGCAAATCCAAGAGAGTTCAGAAGATTACATCACCAAAGCTAGT